CCAACTATTGTTGGCGGCGTATCGTAAAGCCACGAACTCAAACATGTTTATTTTTCCCTCCTTATTTTCTCTTTCTGTTTAATACTTTTTTGTGTTCTATAATGTGCTCGTTTTATTTTCTTATTCATTCAGTTTTTTTGTCACCACGAAATTTGAACAACCCTAGGCTACCGCCATGTGTGCCTAGTGGTTAAACCGGCTGTAAATACATGAGATTTCTCTGTCTGCTAATTTTAACTAAAGCTGTTCAGGAAACTAAACGTATATTATCGTACTTTGATAACTTTCAATTGTAGCTTTACAAATCGTGTTCTTTCAAGTAATGTAAATCTATAATCCTACGACATAATGGCTTAGCTCTGCGCTGGCGAGTTTGACTTATCGCGCAGATGGTCTTTCAGTCCAATCCTGTTCGATGGGAATTTTGTTATTTTTTGCAGCACTGTTGTTGCTGTTTCACGACGTGTAACGCTGGAGTCGCTCTGGTTTTAGGAAGTTAGGAAGTACGACTTTGTGGTATTCTTCTGTGGCATAATGCCCATACCAAATTTAATCAAAATCTGTCCAGTAGTTCTCGAGTTTAAACATACGGATAGACAGACACGATCAGCCATAAACGCGTCTATTTTGTGTACATAATAGTCTAAATTGTTGGACGTATTCGTGCTCCAAGGATCTGCTGTTTGTAACACGCTTCGCCTCCATGTTTCTGTGGAATGCAGGACCGACTCCAAAATCCCGTGTTCTCTTCGTCACCTCGTTCGGTCACACCACTGAACGGTGCAAAAGAGAGGAAACGAATAAGGAGAAAGTCTGTACCGGTGTGGTGATTCTACAGAATGCCCCAAAAAGATCTATACATGTTATAATATTGAATATTGGCCTAGTGTGTGTATACATATTTTTGGAACAGCTTGTATATTAAATTTCATTACGTATTTTGGTTTTCAGTACAGTTTTGTCCATTTTAATTTTCACTTTATTTAAACCTGTGAAGTACAGTGGTAAATATATATAATCCCTCTTCTGATAATAAGTAGTTCTGCATTTTGGACACATTATATTTGTTTTCTTGTGATTCTCTAAATATTTTAATTAAGCAGCCTCAATTAATTGATATTTGTAACGGTGACATGTACGGTAGGAACTTAATTTTTTTATACTATTTAGATGAGCTTAAAAAGTTAAGAATTCATTTGGACAAGTGAGTTGTGGGTAAAGTAATTTGTAGCCAATTGGATAACGAAAATTGAACTCTACTATGCATTACGTCATCTTTCATCATAAAGATGTCCATTAATACTGTAATGAATGTTATCAAGGAAAGTTAAAGTTCACTTATGCAACTTCTGACGTTTATGCAAATAAGCGAAAAAATCGGTTAAGGTCTGAATACATTTATGGGAGCATCTCCCTAAAGTAACTTACTTGGGAGATAAAACCTTGTATAGAAATTACAGAAATATATACGTATATAAATTGCTAAAAGCCAGTGTTTTAGAGAAAATAAATGTAATAACAACACATGAAGGGCGTGTCATGGAAAATATTGTTTTGTCTCTGTCTCCCTATCATCTACCCGTTATCCGCTTGATTTGGAACGCATTGCGTTCACCTAGACAACAGACGTCATGCGTTAAGGGAGCGCAACTGTTTAGTTCCACGTTCAACGGCCCATGCTCAGTCCTCGTATTTTAAGTTCTTACTGTAGTCACAAGTTTTGAAACATGTTCCCAAGAACTACAAAGATTTCGATATTTTATGGCGTGTTTTAGTCGTCGTATATTTTTAATCAATATTTTATAAGTGGATATGCACGCGTGATAGTCTAATTGAATAACACTTCCATTTACGGAAATGTGATACAATTAAATTTGCTTACTATTTTCGACGTCACATGCGTTAAAACCTATTTTTATTTATATGTTTGAATAAAACATGTCATATTAACCTTCAAATGTTGCTTAGCTCCATGTTCTATGTCATTCGCTGCTCCCTGCATGTGAACTGCAAAGACGTAGCTGAAACTAATTGCGCATGGCCATTGGCCACGTTATCCTCCTCATGATTGACCCTGAAAGTTGTGATCCGATCACGGTCTTTGTTTTCAAGGTCCAAGTCTGCAAAACTGCTGTAAGACATGCAACTGACATATCGTCGCACAGTTGGTCTGCGGTGGAGAGGGGAGGCAGGAGGGTTACTTGGGTCTTGTTGACCTTTAGGGCCGACGTATTCGGATGATGAACTCGATTACAATCTTCCATCTACCTCCCTCCACCATCCTGACTTTGTCATCTTCTGATTTTTTGTTTTGTTTCCATAGGGACTAAAGTGGTTGAGTCTGTGCTCTGATGTATGTAGGCTGACTTGATTTTTAGATTCTGTTTTTGTTAGTGTATCCCAACGAGAAAACCTTAACGCTTAGGCATACAACTCCAGTTGATTTTATAATAAAATGTACTTGTCGTCAGATATCTCCGAGCTTCGTTTGCAGTTCAGATACATTCGTTGGAGGACCACTAGCTGTGGTACGGGAAGGGAGAGGAAGCCTTTTTTCATTTTCCTTCCCCGTCTTTCTGTGGCGCAGCTCAAGTTGGCCGATATTTTGCGTCAAGTATAAAACTGAAATGTTGCGCGCTTGGCATTGGGAATCGGAAGCCCCAGATTAGGCGGATGTAAGTAATTATTTGATTTCCCATTATCCTCTACACGTGTCTTTTGATTGAAAAACAAAAAATAATGTTTTTGTTTAAAACGGATGTGAAATTTATGTCCCGATGATGGAGGCAGCAAACACCTGTGAAACGCCCGTAAAATTCTACCAGACTACACGGCGCAACAACCCGGAAGATAACCATCTTTAATCAAATGGACGACAACTCCTCGTTTCGTAATTTTATGACCCATACGCTAAAGAGGTCAGTTTGTCTGTTCCATTTTCGTGACAGGGTACTGTACGATTCAAGAAACATTCTCTTCCTAGTTTTATAAATAGCATTGTATGTAAGCACGAAAACAGCTGGACGTGAATATTGTGTCCTATTTCCAATATTAGAACTTTGTTCCTAATTACAGCCACGACGTCTGATTCAGAGAAAGGTCAAACACCTTTCTGTGTAAAATGAATCGAAAGACTTTTGAGGCGTGTGAGATTTGCACTAGATCTTTCCGGGTTACGCCCACCTGCGTAATCTCCGTGCGTCCTATTGTCAACATAAACACTGACGTGTACATAGACTGTCTTCATTAATTTTGAGACGTGAACTGAAAATAGTTTTTGTGACTTTTCGTATTCAATGTGTCTCCGTAACATCTGTAAGTAATTTGACTACGTATTCTTGCCACAAAGTGAACTAGGTGTAATAGGAAATAGCAGAATGGAAATTTATAATTTGCAGTGTTCAAATATTATTATGATGATAAAATCAAGGAAGAAGAGATGGGCGACATATGTAGCAAGCGTGGGAGGATGATAAATGCATACAAAATTTCAGTCGGAAGACCAGAACATAAGAGACCATTTGGGAGAACTAGGAGTAGATGGAAGGATTTAATAGTGAGCCAACGCCATATATTATGACAGAGCGTTAGAGGTCTACTTCTAAACTCGTATTAAAAAGTCGTTCCTAACTTGATATTAAATTTTACTGATAGCCGTCAACTAGTTTTGAAAGTTAAAGAGCACGATTTTCATTTGTCTTTTTTATGCAATGAAATAATATATTTGATGTAGTGATTATTTATCGATTTCTAAATTACTTGATGTAGTCTAAGCATAGTCTGAATTTATTTATTTGTTGTCTATTTAACGACGTCGTTAGTTGCTCAGACGATGTAGCACCAAATGGTAGAGTGAGTCAAATAATTTCTTGAAAAGTATGTGGGAGGAAGCCGTTGAGACCTATTTTGAGGAGTTACCGGTATTTGTGTTAAAGATTTAGGATGATCGCGAAAAACCTCATTTTATCCGGTCTTCTAGCCGAGACTTGAAACCGGGTCATCCCAAACACGAAACAGGAATG